TACACCATGTCCCTCTGCACAACACCATGCTTCCTGCCATGAGGATAATGGACTTAAACTCTGGAACTGAAAGCAAGCCCCACTAAGTGCTTTTTTAAAAAATAAGATTTGCCATGGTTCTGGTGTCTCTTTGCAGCAACAGAATGCTGACTAAGACTCATGGAGAATGGAATATATTAGTGTATCAAAGAGCACAGCATGTCTTATGCTTATATATCAATTGACAATAAAGGAAGCTTGTCATTTTCACTTTAAGTCTGAGAAATCTGAGTTGCAGAAGAGCACAGTGAGTGCCCCTGTTTTGCTAGAAAGGCAGGACAATGCTTCTAATCTGGATCCTGGCTCAGTGGTCTTTTCTAAACCATGTTGCCACTACATACTCATCCACACATAGCTATATATGTGTGCATCTATAGCTGTATTTGTGTATACATGATATATAAATTACCAAAAGGCAACTTCACAAAATATTAGCCCATCACCATTTTGAATCCCACTCATACATGAAGAACACCATTAGAATTTCAGCACTTTACCTACATTGCCATAATGAGTACCAGATTCTTCTTTGTTTGGGAAACAGGTGTGCTGCTCGTCAGTCATTCAAGATTGGTTATCTTGTCCTAGCTTCCTAGTCCATAGGAAATATTTCATAGATCCTGTCACCTTGGTTGGGAGGTTCTGTGTCCCAGCCTTTCCTGGAGGACTTAAGTGGATATTCATGGTAAGAAAGTTATATTTAACTCCTGAACTCTCAACCCTCGGGACTCTCGTGGCTCAGTTGCCAAAATGTCAGCTGAGATGCTTTCCTGCATGCCACAGAGGCTTCTTTATGCTCAGAAGAGAGCTCCGATTTTGCTGCGACTTGGCAGCCTCTGCTCTGAGCTGGAGCCACTCCGGGAAAAGCTGCGTTTACATGCACAGGCAGAACCCTTTCTTCCACATGAGGTTCTGTTGCAAGCTGTGTGGAACAGGCCATCACAGAAGGCTTCATTTTTCTCAATCTTGCTATTGGTTTTTGTTTGTTTGTTTGTTGGTTTGTTTCAGTAACAACAGATTCCACGTCAAACCCGCAGGACCCAGAGACGATTGGAAAGCGAGGGTATAGCTGCCAGTCACCATGAACATCCACAGCTAGTACATTATGCTTACTCCGAAAGCAGAAGGACAGTCACAAAGACATTACATTCATTGATTTTTTTCAAAGAACACCAGACGCTATAAACAGCGTATACAGGACAAAACACATCACTACAACTGTTAGTTTGCTATTGAATGACGCAGACTTTGCTCACTGTGGCCAAGGAGAAGGCAAACAAGTTTTGAGAGCAGACAGAACCAGTGGTCGATTCTGTCCTCAACCTTCTACCCTCGTTATTAAGAAAAATGATATCGTATCTTGTCAGACTTCATTCCCTTCTCTGTAAGATGAGAGTCATGTCTCCATGGAGGACTGAAGAAGATGGGGGGGGACTATGAAACACCCAGAACTATGACTTGGCCTTGAAGACAGTCAACAAGTGTCAGTTCATCTCTGTATTTTCTTTAAAGTTTTCGCAGGCAAAAGTGCTGGAAGACGGCTTGGGTGGTTCAGATCTCTGTGGAAACAGCTTTGATAGTTTTGATTTGTGGGAATGCATTTTTTAAAATATTAAGCCAGTTGTTTTTATTCTAAGTAAATCCCCACTAGTTCCTGGAGTTTTTATACCCATAGTTTAAGAGTGCACAGCCAGATAGCAGCCCTACCGACTTCCAAGAAAACAATGCGAGGCAGGGAAAGATTTCTCAAATTTGGGCTTTCATGTCATAAGCCAAACAAGGAAAGCCACAATGCTGTGAGTTAAGAAAGGATGTGGATATGAAGGAAAGAGAATTCTTAAAAGACAGAGGGGGTGGGGGTGGGGGTGGGCCATTCAAAACCTAGAGTGAAAGTAGGGTCACATGGAAACATGAATCCTTAGTGAGACCGTGGAGCAGGAGGCAGTGTGGGAGGTTATACACTCTGGACCTGGTAAAGCCCAGGCCGATGCTGGCCAGTGTGGCAGGACAGCATGAGAGAAGTCATACTTGAGGAGGTGACAGGGAGTGCTGGGGTGAGAGTTAGGGATCTTGACCACCTTAGCAAGGTCCAAAGCAGAGATGGGAAAGAATAGAAATATTTGATGCCTAGAGGGACTGTAGTCAGGCTGTGAAGCTCCTAGATGGTAGCCATGTTGTGATCAAAGTCCATAGTGGAGAGACATAGGCTGTTGGGCATCATGCCTTCAAAGCCAGATGTATTCAGGAGGTAGGGGTGGACATGGAAGGGATCCAACATGGCTGGTATGTGTAGAGATGCCTAGAGATGGGGACCAATATCAAGGAGGTTCTATAGCACAGTCCACAGACTGACTACCTAACTCCCCAATCCAATAATGTCATTGACTGTGTTTCCTTCTGCTTAAGCTCCCACTGAACAGGACAGCAAAGTTCTCCTTTGGAGTTTAGATTACATATTGCTCAAGGATGTGCCTCAGAGGAGGAGGGGCGCCGGAGCAATAAACCTAAATTGGATATCAGAAAGTATACTTCTTTCGGAATGATACAGAACTATCCCTTTCTGCCCGTGTGCTTGATTGAGTGTAATTTTATACACGCTCAAAGACAAGTCTTTACCTCCTAAGCTTTTCAATAGAAAGGCTGGGCAAATCCTTAGCAGAGTATGTCACACCACGTATTGTGAGCATCTTCGTGGTTGCCTGTCTTACCAACATGAAGGGACCAAAGGCCAGTGTTCAATGCTGTTGGCTTTCCACATCTTAGCTAGGACTTGGCACATGATAAATGTGCAATAAATATTTATAGGATTATTTAATGGCTGTGCCTTTTCAAAAATAACTGGCAAGAATCTTTTGCATAAACAGAGCATACACAACTGCATCTATGAACAAATACATAAAAGAGAAAAGGCAGCGTACACATTGAACCCGAGGCCCTTATTAGGAAGGCTGAGTCGAATGGGGGGAAATTGACCATTTTGTTTGTGAAGTCCGCTGATTCCTAGAAATCATAAGGCCTGGCAAATTTCCTAGAATTCATTGTGCTCTTTATAGAACAGAATTGCATAGTGCTGTGTTAAATTTAATACAAAGCTCACAAACTCTATGCTAAATTAGATGCTAAGTTACACTCTACCGTAGACCAGAATGGCTAACAGTGGAATACAACTTATTCTTAAAATTCAGGACGTTTTGCTTCTTACTCGAGTGCTTCCCAGGATACAGTAAGCATGCTAGCGGTAAAGATGTTGACAATGTGAGGATACGCAGATAAATACCAGCTTGTGTATTTGAATGAGTCCAGGCATGCTCCGGCAAATCTTAGCACTTTGGGTAAGGCGAGATAGGCACCGGAGAGTCAGGGTTGCTTTGCCGAGCAGTGTGAAGCAATAACGCAGGCAGAGCCAGCTTACAGCAGGAAGCGGAGGAGGCGGTTTCAGGATCACCAAGGCTAGAGAGGCGCGAACGTTAGGTGGATCATTTTCAAGTTTGGTGTGGCAAAATACCAACTCGAGAAGCCTGAAATGCTACAAATGTCTATTGCGATTCTTTCCAAGAGGAACTGTTTGAAAATTCAGTTGTACCCAGGATGGCCGTCCTCTTGTGGTTCTTTGCCATGGGGCTTATCTAATGTCACATTTAGAAAAACAGAGATGGGTTTTTGTCAATAAAATATATTTTTACATGGAGAGAGAGAGAGAGAGAGAGAGAGAGAGAGAGAGAGAGGGAGAGAGAGAGAGGGAGGGAGGGAGGGAGAGAGAGGGAGGGAGGAGAGAGAGAGAGAGAAAGTTTTGAACTACATAAACTTGCAGCTGCTTTGCAGCCCTACTCCAGGTAGTCTGGCCTGGAGTGTGCAGTGCCCACAGGCCTCAGACAGTCTGTCTGTATGTGCATGTTCATGGGCCTTGGACAGTCTGTCCATATGTGCAGTGTCTGTGGGCCTCAGACAGCCCGACTGTCCATGTGGGCAGTGTCTGTGGGCCTCAGACAGCCCGACTGTCCACGTGGGCAGTGTCTGTGGGCTTCAGACAGTCCGACTGTCCATGTGGGCAGTGTCTGTGGGGTTCAGACAGTCCGACTGTCCATGTGGGCAGTGTCTGTGGGGTTCAGACAGAGCTGTTTTGCAGACCATCAGAACACGTAGAAATGGCTTTCCACATTCTGTCATCAAGGATGAGACAACCGTATTAAGCTGGTCTCAGACAGATAAATATCATATTTCTCTCACTAATGGTTCCTAGATTTTACACAGTTACGCAAAGTCATGAACATATATAAGACAGAAACGTAGAAATGAAACTGTCCAGGGGTATGAGGGGTCTAATGGGGCAGGGTAAGAACTGGGAGGGCAGAAGTGTATGGGAGGGGATATGTATAATATGTGCTAGTATAAAAACTTAAAAATAAATAAAATTTAAACCATTTCTCTAAAAGGAGAAAATGCAGACAGAGCATTAGAGTTTTGGCTCCTCCCCAATCTCATCTCTTTGTTTGTTATTGTTATTTTAAGACAGATTTTCGCTCTGTAGTCCAGCCTGGTCTCAAACTCCTGGGCAATCTTCCTGACTTAATTCTCCCAGTTCTGAGGTTACAGATACGAGCCACCACGCCTTGCTACTTCTTTTGAGTCTCCGTTTTGCCTGCACCAACAGGCTGAGAACTTCTGTGGAAAAGGAAGTTGTTTTTCTATGGTAGCTCACTCACACTGCATTTCCCAATTGAGATAATCCCATTCTTAAGACTTGGGGAAGGGCTTCCAGGCTTCTGATAAGAATTGATACACAGACGGCAAATTTCTGAAAGCATTTAAAAATAGAGCATTATTGCATAGCTTGTCCTGAGTAGGTGCTAAGAGCTTGACTAACTTGGTCTGGAGATCTGTTTACATCATTTTCTGGTTTGACCCCGGGCCAGTGGACGACCATTTATCTCGTTAGAAGTTAGGTTAGGGCCAGACTGAAGGGGGCCGCACCCAGGCGCAGCTTGGTGCTTTGGTGAGGGTGTCCTGTCAGACAAAAAGGCTAATTTTGATGGCGATGACTTTGATGATATGGAAGGGGATGAATGACTCTCTATACATGACCAAATATGAGTGAGCTCACATGCTGGACACTCCGGCTCATCATGTATGCCACTGCGATGGTGGACCCAGAGTGGGAGACAGAGCCTTGACTCACCTCCGTGAAGAAACTCAAGGCCTGAAATATCCTCGTCTTCCTTCACTGCCATCTGCCAGCTGGGAGCTATGAGGGCTGGGGTGGTGAGTGAGCTCTCTCAACTGAGCAAGAGCCTTCCTGACTTGACCTGGGTCTCATTTCTATGCTCACTTTATACATGCAAATGATAAAGTTCACCCTTCCAACCCCCACCCTTCACCAAGTTAGATTCGTCGTCCAGAAAAGAGTGATAAAAATAAAACTTATCCCACAGAACTGTTGTAAGAACGAAACACAGTAAAAGCAGGCACAGGTCCTGGTCTAAAAGACATGCTCTCACTACGTAGCCCTGGCTGGCCTGGCCTGGAATTCACTATATAGACCAGACTTCCTTCAAAGTCACAGAGATCTGCTTGTCTTGACCTCCAAGTGCTGGGACTAAGACTAAAGACAGGAGCCACCAACCCTGCAATTGTTTTTTGTTTGTTTGTTTGTTTGATGCTAGGCTTCATCAGCCTGTCCATGCACACAGATGGTTGCAAACATTTGATTCTATTTTCAGAAACAAGCACAGAAAGCCTTTTCTTTCTCAGGCAGGAGATTTTGGGAGGTAGAGGTCACAATGGCACTTTGGTACCTGAGGAATCTGTGAGAAAGTACCAGAAAGAAGGCTGTGTGGGACCCTGGGTGAATGCCAGTCAATCAGGACATTTATCTGGAAACCACCCTGTGATTTGGAAACGGAGCTGGACGAGAAGGTGGGAAAGGGTGGGGTCGCTTGGGGCTTTCGGTATCCCGAACCACTTTAACTTTCTTCCCCTTGTGAGTGCAGGGCAAGGTCAACAATGAGGCAGGCACCCACCCCACCTTCTCCGGACTATCTTCTCCATCTCCAAGAAACACAAACAAAATAGAAGGAAGGAAAGGACACAATGGGCAAAACATTAAGGAACAGTTGCCTTTTCGAGTCCCTGGCAGGGAGCAGGGTTTTCTGTGAGGGGCATAATGATGTGGACATTTCAAGTACCACAAGACCTCAAGCTCTCATCAAAGCCTCAGAGGATTCAAATGAGCCTAGTTCATCTGCCCGCTTTGTAGAAGATGAAGTCCACAGAAAAGATGAAAGCAATCAGGGGATGATATCTGAGGGGGTGGCGGCCAAGAAGAGTCTGCGAAAGGCTGAGTGGTATGTCCAAAAACCTTCACACTCACTTCCACGCTGTCCATAGGGAATGTCATGTCTGTGTTAGACAAGCTTCTCTAGAACCAAGGGACAGACAGATAGACAGGTGAGTAGACAGATATACAGTTTTTATAACATATTGGCTTACATAATTATGGAAGTGAGGATGTTTTGTGATTTGCTGTAAACATTCCACATAGACAAGATGGTAGTATTTAAAGACATGAGAGCCAATGGCAGGAATTCTGATTTTGATCTGAAGTCTTGAGAATCAGGAACATTTTCTTTTTCCTTCCTGACTACTATGAAGTGAATGGGGAGATTGATAGGCCACCTCATCAGTCAGGCAGGGTGAATTCAGTCTCTCTCCAACTCTTTGTCTTCCTAAGGCTCTCCATGGGGTCTGTATTGACACTGGAGAGGGTAATCTGCATTATGCCATGCACTGATCCAAACGACAAAGCCTCCCAAGGTATCTACACAGACACCTGGGAAGTAATGTGTAGCCAGCTCTCTGGGTATCACAGTCGCCTCTAGAAGAAGGAGTAGTTTCAGGTGGAGATGCTTCTGAAACTGGAGCCTGGAAGTGGTAAAGTCAGAAGAGAAGACCCTTTAGCCCTGAGCATTTAGTATGTGTTGAAGCAGCTGGGCAAAGGAAGTCAGGGTCCTTATCACCTAGTGATTCACCACAAACTCACCTCTGTCCATGGCCAAGCCACACTGCAGAGGTTGGAAACTGGCAGAGAAGGGCGTTTGGAATGCAGATACCAACATCATTAATTATTGCCATGTGCTCCCTGTATCCCTGTCTAAATCAGGCAGCTGCATTGAGTGAATAAGATAACACATGAAACCACTCTGCTAATTTGCTGACATGATTAATAATAACTAAACACAAGAAGAAGTGATGAAATACCGAATCCAGCAGGTAACACTTTTGCACGTAGAAGCTATTTTTTTTTTTTTCCGAGACAGGGTTTCTCTGTGTAGTTTTGTTTCCTGTCCTGGATCTTGCATTGTAGACCAGGTTGGCCTCGAACTCACAGAGATCTGCCTTGCTCTGCCTCCCGAGTGCTGTGATTAAAGGCATGCACCACCACCGCCGCCCAGCTAGAAGCATTTTTTTTTAAATAAAGTTTTCCATCACAGCCCATTGAGAATCTCTGGTGAGTCTTGTTTTCATGTGTGTGGATATGGCCTCCTAAATGGGAAATTCTCTGTAGTTGAAAGGGATCTAGGTACAAAGTTATACCTTAAAAGACAGCATTACTCTATAATAAGTTCTAAGATGTACAAAGTTTATTGTTTGCTATCGTTTGGATTGTGAATGTCTCTGTGGTGATTTGAAAGAAAATGGCTCCCAAAGGGAGTGGCACTATTAGGAGGTGTGGCTTTGTTGGAGTGGGTGTGGCCTTGTTGGAGTAAGTATGTCACTGTGGAGGCGGGCTTTGAGCACTCATATATGCTCAAGCCACATCCAGTGTCTTACACCACTTCCTGTTGCCTGCAAGTCAAGGTGTAAGACATTCGGCTACTTTTCCAGCACCATGTCTGCCTGAACACCGCCGTGTCGTACCATGATGAAAATGGACTAAACCTCTGAAAATGTAAGCCACCCCAATTGAATGTTTTCCTTTATAAGCATTGCTGTGATCATGGTGTCTCTTCACAGCAATAGAAATGCTAACTGAGACAGTCCCCAAAAGGCCCGTATCTTGAAAGCTTGATCCCTGCTGACAGTACCACTGGCGAGTGGTGGAAGCTCTAGGAGCTGAGGGCGAATGGAAGCTACATAGCTAAAGTGTGCTCTTTTTGAAAGGGATATTAGAACCCTGGCTGCATCCTGCCTTTCCATGAAGTAAGTGGCTTCGTTAACACGTATGTCAAAATGTTTTTGCCCCAGGCCCCTAAATGATGATACTCACAGACGATGGACAGAAACGGTAAGCTAAAAATATACATTTTCTGATTTTAAGTTGATCTGCTTGTATATTTGGACGTAGTGACAGATACTAACACATTGTGACAGAAATTCCTTTGAAGTTTTTATAGCAAGTTGGAATGTAGCTAGCCTGGGCCAGTATTCGAAGAGCCAGCTTCTCAAGCTGTGAGTCATGACCCTGTGGGTGATCATGTAACTGAATGTGAGCATCACAAAAGTTTGACAACCGTAAAAGGTTTCTGAACACACAATGACTGGAGAGTAATTGGAAATGGAGCATGTGATGAGTCCAAAGTGGAGCGCTCGTCCACGCTGCATTGTTTGGTTTCACCGTGGCCTCCGTTCTGCACACACTTGGTGTGCACTTTGTACTATGTGCTCTCAGAACCACCCAGCGCCGGTGAACCTTGCCTGAAGCAGCTCAGCTCAGATTTGAGACTATTAGTGTTGTGAACTGCAGGGTTGTTACTGTATATAGAACGTGCTCTGTTCTTAAAGACACACAGTGCTTTAATTATAGAAAGCAAAGGCTTCCTGCTTTCTTACTGTCGTTTCTCAGCATGGATGTATCAAATGAGGTCATATTTGTATTATGCCATTTGAAGTGTTAACCTGAGTTTCATTAAAAAATCATTACATGGATTTTAGTGTGGGATTAGGACAGACTTTTTAATAAGTATTCTCAGCACTGCGATTTTAAAAGTGAAAATACAGAGCAGTTCTGAAAATGTTGAAGTTCTGTGCCACATGGTATCACATATTCAGGTCAAGATTTAATTTTTGTTCATTCGTTTTTGTTTTTTTCAAGACAGATTTTCTTTGTGTAGCTATATGGCTTTCCTGGAACTCATTCTGTAGACCAGGCTGGCCTGGAACCCACAGCGATCCACCTGACTCTGCCTCCAAAGCGGTGGGATTAAAGATGTGTACCACCACTGCCCTGCTAAGATTTAATTTTTTATGTGAAAATTAATAAGTAAATCCATCTCATCAAAGTGTGCAAATTTGCTTGGATCTCTAATAAATGATAAAATTATATGTATACCAAATAATTGTTTTAAACTATTTTATGTTATTTATTATCAGTACATGCTTAATTTGTATGTTTATTATAAACACATATAAACTGGATATTATGTGAAAATTTTTCCACCAAAGGTTCTTGAATATAACAACTTTAAGAAGCCCTGTTAGGGAGGGTTCCTGGCTCCATAACTTAGCAGCTCTGTGGCTTTGCCAAATTATTTCAACACTTTGCAGGTAGATATTTTTGTTTGTAAAATACAGAGCTTTTACCATAGCACCTAGGACATAGTAAAGGTCTAATAAACACGTGAATGTTTACCGCTATTTTTCGTTAGTTTTACTTTATTACTAGAATTTGGTGTCCAGAAAGATCGTGGGTGAGGTGTGTGCACTGACTGAAACCCAGTTTTTCTGCCTTTCAAGTTAGCTCTTTCTTAAGAGTCTTGTCCGGGTGGAGGGAAAGCTGGGGTGGAGGGGGGGGAGGGGGAGGAGGGATGAGAGGGGGATCTGTGGTTGGTATGTAAAATGAATAAAATTATTTCTTAATTTAAAAAAAAGTCTTATCTATCCCTGTTGAGCAGTCTGTGCTCACAGATTTGGCAGCAAAAGGCCATTAAACAGCTTATCAGACTTTTTAGTCCTGACTCAGTTTCCACTAGCCTCCCCTCCCGTCTCCTCACCTCCCCACACTATGTCATTCCCTCCTCTAGTGTGGCAGCTCATCTTAACTCCCACAAAGAGTAATATTGACAACCCCTACTACGAGGAGACTATAAAATCACCTCAAGACTTTGAAAATCTTGTTCCTTCCCCTTTCTGTCAGTTCATTTATGTATAAAATGAGAGGGAGGTAAAGAGTCGATAACCAATGGATTGCTGACTGGAGACGGGCGATGTGCTGGGTGGGAGAGTGAAAGACTGAATTGTGCCAGCTCCCAGTTCTCACACATTTCATAGTGTA